AAGCCGATGCTTTACATCCGGCGTTCAGTGGCAGACTACTATTTCATATTGTTTTACAACACATGGCTTTAGCCCTCTGGTGGGAAAGACTTTAAAACAAAACTTACAACAGTTACTTTTCTCAACTGAAATTTAGAATAGTGTGATTAAGAAAAATATGTGAACTGTTTGCAATTTCAAATTAATATTGAAATGCACAGGTTTAGAATATTCTGCAGTGAAAAGTTTTCGGAACTTCAGTGTTCAAAAAAGTATACAAAAACTAGACGTTAAGAACGTATCCAATGAGCGAGCAAAGCGAGCATCGGATTGCGAAGCAATCCGAAATGAACTGCGAAAGCAGTTCCGGGGGTTGGCGAGCGCCAGCGAACAGGGGGCTAAGCCTCCTAGTAATATGTTAAAAGGACACCGTGCAACACAAGGAAAAAGATATTATTCTTAAAGGTAATATTTTTACTTCAAACTACTTTTTGGCACAGGCAAAAAGTTTACATGTTTTGAAAAATTCCATTGTTTTTTTATTAAAAATTTCCAACTGTTAAATGAAGTTTTAAAATTTAATTGATGAATTAACTTATTTTCATGAAAAAAATTCTCTCACGTTGTTTTTAATTGAAAAGCTTTTAAAAAGACACTCATCTGAATAATTCGAAAACGTGGCTTATCATTTCCCTGTCCCAAGTCTATAAATAAGTAGAACATTTGAATGCACATTAAAAATTCTTTTTCCTTTAAATATTCATGAAAAAAACTTAACGAATTTTTATTTTTAAAAAGAACTTCATAGTATCTGAATTTTATTTAAAAAATAGACTTGCTAAAATCCAAATTTTGTTGAGAAAAAATAGTAACATTATAACGTATAAGAATTTTAACATTCTCTTCAACAAACTACTCAAGTAAGATTCAAATGTAAACAAAAAAGGGTAAATTGTTCTTGAGTTACAAAAAATTTTTACTTTTCAGTAATTAAACCGATTTCTACTAAATTTTGACATTTAATATTGCATGTTTAAAAAGCACGTAAGAATTTTTGTTTTTATATTATACTTCAAATTTTTTTTATATCATTATTAAATTACATAAAAGTTATAATCGCTACTTTTTGTACTATGGTTATAAAATAAAATGAGATATAAATGGGATAAAAAAAATTTATATTACTCTGTTATTTCAAAGAAGTGTCAAAATACGCAAAAATAATATAACTTAAGGGTTCAAATTTTCGACTATTTTCCTGACCTCACTATTTAGTCGCGTATGGCCAAATCTATCGGAACAAATTTATGTTTATCTGTATTGTGTTTGATTTTCTTATTTTGTGTGATTTTTTTAAATCTAAATAATTTTCCTTTGTAATTAAGTAGCATATCTTTCGTGGATGTTTCAATAGTAGCTTCAATACGATAAAATCAGGACTTGAGGTTATTATTTATCGGGATAATTATTAATATTTTTTATGTTATGCGATATTCTTTAAAAGCTCTCTATAACGAGCACTGCCTATAACGAGATGTCCACTATGACGACCCATTTCAAAGACACCGTCATAATCTATTATTAAAGCATGTGTATGTTTATAATGAGTTAAAAATTTCTTACCTCCCGTTATTACGACGCATTGTTTTTAGGGAAATACATTTTCTCGCTGTATAAGTGAACAATATTATACAAAAAATGTTTAGGTTGAAGACATTTTTTTTGACCGGTACAATTTTTGACACTACAAAAAAAAGTTAAAAAGCTTTCTTACAGTTTTAAACACTCATTATTTTTTTAAGAAAGGAAAAAAAAAAAAAAAAACAGTGTATATATATATCGAAATGGGTGGTTGGCGTCTTTCACCGATGAATGTTGACAATCATATAGTCGCTTTGGTAAATGTCCGAAATATATACTAGTTAAGTGCCACTGCCTGGTACACATTTGTCAGGTATGCCCTAATGTTTTTTAAGGTCCAGTGCCACTGCCCGGTATACATTTTGCCGGTACTCCGAACACTGATGTTTCTCCTAAACTATCCTCAACGGATATTAAAATATCGAATAAATGTAATAATATCAACAAATAAATTTATATCAAATAGGACATAACAAATAGTTCGGACATTCACCAAAGCGACAATGTGATGGTTGACCTTCACCGGTGAAAGTTGACATTCACTTGATTTCGGTCATTCAAGGTGATACATATAAGTTATAGCTTGTCAATAATGGGTATGAGACTATGCGACACCCTATCACCGTTTATGTTTAAAATTTCTACAGCCTTTTTGGAAAGAATAAAAAATAAATCTAAATAATGACTTTGTAACTAAGTTTTTCTTTTCTAAAATAAAAATACAAAAGTATTTTCATAAAAACAAATACTTGTCTTATAACTAATTATTTAACACAACTTAAATTATTAGTCTAGACAATTTAGCAACATGAATTATTATAGATGGTGTTGATAATTTAGATAGAGAAATACCCGTGTTTTTTGGTACCATGTAAGAAAAATAAATGGATAAATAATTTCAGATCTTCTCTTGTTTTTTTTAAATTCTTAATGCATCTCTTTGATTTGAATTCCAAATGTGCTGTATTCAGTATTAGCCGTCCAGAGAAACACGAGAGTGCAGGTCCACCCGATTATTGTTCACATTTTTATAATATAGAAGATTAAAAAATATATAATCAAGTATTTAATTTATTTTTTATGCAAACGCTTAAAATTTTTACGCACGATTCCCTCCCCCATTTTCATCAAAATTTGTATAAAAATATTTCCAACCTTAAAACACTGTTCATATTTTCCTAAACTTAAATGCCCCAATTGCTGAGAAATATTCACTATAAAGCACATCTTAACCCAGTGTTGCAACTTTAAAGCTAAGAGACGGCGATATGTTAATTCTGAGTATCCTGAATTATCGACTTTAATTGGAGACAATATCCACTTAGAAACCTTCTTGAATATCTTAAAGACACTGATGGATACTTTTAATTTTGATCAAGTGTTGAGCGCGGTATAACCTTCTTTGGCTCAAAACATTTAAACGAACTTACTCATCAAAACTTAAAAGCATCGTGCAGCACAACAAGAATATTAAAATGGAAAAAAATTTTATTACTTACTTATATTTTAGTCGAAAAGTAATGTTATAAAAAAGGTTGAGAACCTATGGTTTTAGCAAATAATTACGAGAGATATAATATTATTTTCTACATTTTGTAAAATTATATGACACCACCTAAGGTCAGAATAATTCGACTAATATTGTTTTTTCTTTTCATAGTGAAAACAACTCGAGGATCTTAAATCAATCTTTGGAGAAATGGCATTGTTATCAGCAAAAAGTATCCGCATTTTCAAAACATTCAACTTGTATGGTTGTTTTTTTGTATTGGTAAGATTTGTTTCAAAGTGCCTTTTTTTTTACTGCATTTTATAATGCGAAATAACAAATATTGTTTACCGAATATTCTTGAAGTGCAAGTTGACAGGAACGTGACTGATAGTACGAACTGATTATAAAAGCTAGCATCACAGCACAGTGCTATCTATGCATACATTTACTTCAGAAAACGGAAAATTTGTAGATTGCATATTGCAGAGAAAATTCATGGAGGAAATTTGACCTGTCGATTGATTGATCAATCATAATTATTTAGTGGTACAGTATGTTCTCGATATCCCGAAAACCATGTTGCGTCAAAAAATATTTCCTCCTTGGCATTGCAAATCTACTTAATGTTAATTTGAATTCCTATGTCGAAGGGTTTTTTCTTAAAACCTTGCTACGTCGAATTTTGTTCGAAAAAGAAATTGAATTTTTTTCCGCAAAAATCACAAAGCAAGTTCATTGTAAACTAATTATTTTCTATTTAATGCGTAATTATTTTTGTCTTACTTTTAAAAATAAAATTATCATTGTAGTATTTTGACTTATAGTCAATTATCATTACATTCATATTTAATAGTAGTTATTCTTATGTTTCATGACTCCACTTTTTAGAGTAATATTTTAGAATATATTTCTCTACTTTTTAGAGTAATATTTTGGAATATATTTTTTTACTTTTTAGAACATATTTAATTCTGAACTTGTTATCTCGAAAATTTGTTATCACGAAAACTCGCTATCTCGAAATTTTTTTAGCGTCCCTTGAACTTCGAGGCATCGAGAATAGACTGTCATTAATATTAAATGCTAAAAGTAATAAATAGTTTTGTAAGCTGGAATAATATTATAGATAGAAAAAAAAATAGTTACAAAATTCCATTATGTGTTCTTTCTATTAATCATTATTTATTATAATCAATAAATCGGTATTAACCAACACTATGAAATTAAGATAAAAAATGACAGGCTGATACCTATAGTAAAACAAAAATGTAAAATATTTTCAGTTTTTTTATTTATTGCTTTATGTTATCAGATTAAACAAAACACGCTTTTAGAAATGCATCCCATCAGAATAAATTCTGTATTCAGACTAAATTCAGTATCATTTGGCATGATGCTATCGCTCACAATCAACTCATAATACTCAAAATACAATCAAGTACTTTTTCTGGTACACAATATTAAATGCCTACAGTATTAATATTAAATTACCTATGTTATTATAACTAGTATATATTAAAACAGCACCTTATTCGATAATATTAGTAGTACTAATTACCGAAATTAATTATGCATCATTGGTGTCAATAACAGTACTATTGCGAAATTTTACGGTATCCTGAAACGAATAAGTACTTTTACGCAACTTATTTTTTTTTATTTCATTTAACTTTAATTTGAAATTATTTATTTTATTTAGACCATAAAACATTTTTATTTCTTAATTTCCTTCTCCAATTACAATAATAACTAACTGCAACAATAATAATCTCCAATTACTACAATTTTCCTGTTCCCTGAAACAAATAAGAACTTTTACACAACTTTTTTTTTATTCCAATTAACGTTAATTTGAAATTATTTAGTTTATTCAAACTAAATATTTTTATCTTTTAATTTTCTTCTCCAATTACAACAATAATTAACTACAACAATAATAATTTCCAATATTAACAATAATAAACTAGTTTCATAAATGTAATAGGGTTCGAAAAAGATGTAACAAAAGAATATTAAATGTTTTCGGAATAACGAGATAATTTTGCTCTAAATATTAGATGCGAATTTCGTACCGACAGTAATAACTGGTTGCCTTCAGATAAAGGCACTTTATATCACCATTACAGTAGTACTTTATTTACGTCTTACTAGAGCTGCACAAAGGGCGATGGTCTAAGAAACATCAAGGAAGACGATCCTAAGATATGCCACCATTTTGTTTCTATTCGGAGGGGATGGCACCCCCTCACTAGCAACCCGATGGCCGGCGCACGAAGTCGTGCTCTTTAGGGTCGAACAGTTTAACGAGGACCGTGCACCTTCAGTCTCATCGCAGGCTGATCAAAGTGATCATTCTCCTGCTCAATGTTCACTGTCAGTGATGCCTGACTTAGGTGATCTACTGGGAACCGTGTTTAAGATCAGTCTACAGGGATTATGACACATATAAGTTATGCTGTATTTTGTCTTCATGGCGTCTTTTTACAATTCATGACTATTTAGAGTGAAAAGTTTAAAATTAGAATTCATTTCTTTTAGCAGACTCACTATATTTTTCTTTCATTTCAGGGATTGTGTGTTGCCATACCAGGTCCAACATTAATTGATTTGACTCACCTTGTACACACCGACATAAAGACCATAGCATTCATTTATGCAGCCCGATCAGTTGGATATCTTGCAGGTTCTTTACTCGGTATGAGTTTCATCTCCACACACTTCATAGTACAGTGTGTCTCACTCAAACAGAGCCACCTTGATTTTAAGTCAGAACCTGACGCAACGAAAACCCATTGAGAATTAGATACGCATATTAAAAAAGTCGATATTTAGATATACATTTACAAGTAATAACTTACTTTCTGTTCCATCTGGTAGGAAAGAAAAAACAAACATCTAATAATGTTAAAAAAACAGCTGAAGTAAGGTCTCCTCTGCAATAGCTAATATATCCGTCATGGATGATGTGTACCATTTACTAAACTCTGTAGGACTTCCTACCAAAAAGCTTTCAAAGATATTTTTTTTCCAATGCCAGTCTGGGGATTGACTTACGTCATACAGGCATCTGAAGGGCAGATTTGTTGGCCACTCTTTCAGGGGCACCCTATTAGGTGGGCCAACGTTGCTCCTACAGTAAGGACAGATAGTACAGAGAATGAAAAAAAACATCCATGCCTTGCCCGGGATTCGAACCCAGAACCTTTCTGATGCAAGGACAGTTCCCTAACCCCTACATAGGCCGGTCGGCAGTTTCAAGGATCTGACAGCCTTCAATTCTGCCATAAACTGAAACTGCTACTTTTTGGTTACATATACAATTGTACTGAGGATAGCTCCAATGTTTTCCTGTGGACATAGGTAAGACAAAAGGGAAGACCATTCATTACATGCACCCTATGACCCAAAAAGCCAACAGTGTGAAGTTTTCTAACCGTATATGAATGCATTGTTCTGACCACCTGTCAATGGCTGGATGAACTATTGTCTGCCTCCATACAGCTTGAACGAGAGTTCACCACCATAGCTTAACATTTCCACATAATGAATGAGTCTCCACCCAGTGGCATAATAGAGAAAAAATTATTTTCTTTCCTTGTGTCTTTGTAATAGCTCCCAAAACTATTTGGATCATCTCAAAAAATTTTAAATTTTTCTTTTCGTTTTTGCGTGTGGATAGCTTTAATCATGGGATACCGCTAATTATTTTATATCATAAATTTCTTGTAGGATATATGAAAGAGGAGAACAAAAATAGACGCCGACGTGAAGGGGGGCTCATGATTGCTGCGTGAAGGCTTGCAGAAAACTATCAGGCCGTATAAAAGCTATCAATGACTAAAAAAAAAAATGATAGAAACTCATTTATTGGCATTTGAAAGGAGAATTCTTGTCCCAAGTCGAATTTCCCAGCAAGAGAAATGAATGCCTTCATTTTCGTTGCAAAATCTTCTAAGTTGTAGTTTTGGACAGTGACATTCGCATGACCTTCAGTCCTTCAGTCCCCGGAGAAAACGTGAAGGGCTCCTCAGTGATGCTGTATTTTCAAAAGCAGTTTGTGACATAAAAGAAGGCCGCCATCAATTAAGCTTGAAATAATATTCGATACCATTGTCTTCCAGAGGATGGTAAATGATATGCAGCATAACATATTTTGAGTCCTATTAAAATAGGAGGGATATTTTAGCTTTTCAAAGCGGCTTTAATTTGGTGAGATATTCCTCCCCTCCTTCTTTACCTATTCGATATGTTTTGCTAGTCCAGGTGAAGCAGGAAGTGAGTTACTGCTTGTAAGCAGAGATACTGCTGTTTAGATATACACTTTTTTTAATACATAACTTTGGTTCTCATTTTGTCTGCATCTAGTTATAGCACAAAATCAAGATGGCTTCATTCATGTGGGACGTACTGTATATCGGCTACATTTTAAGGAAAATCTATTCTAATCTATTGATGATGTTTATGCTAGCGCGAATGACCGAAATCCAGAGAACGTTGACTTTTACCAGTGAAAATCAACAATCACATCCGAAATATTTGTTATATCCGAATTGATGTTACGCTGATATTATTATATTTATTCGACATTTTAATATCTGCTGAGGATAGACTAGGAGAAGCATCAGTGTTCGGAGTACCGGTTAAATACAAACCGGACAGGAGCACTTGACCTTAAAAAACATTGATGGAGGGTATACCGGGCAGCGGCACTGAACCTTAAAAAAACATTGATGTAGAGCATACCGGGCAGTGGCACTTAACTAGTTCTAATATATATTTCGGCTATTTACAAAAGCGATTATGTGATTGTCAACATACACTGGTGAAAGTCAAGAGCCACCGATTTCGGTCATTCACAGTAATATATATAAACTTTTCGTGATATATATTTAATATATATATAAACTTTTTTCAGATTCATCACTCCTACAGAGGAGTGATGAATCTGAATAGTAAGTTCAAGGCTGAACTAGATTAGTAACTTATCTGTCGCATATACTAAAATCACCCTAAATACTAAAATGGACTTTCACAGAAGCAATGTTGTTTCCGTTAGATAGCTAACGCCTCTATGTGAGTGGTTGAAGATGCCTTTCAGTTTTAATTCAATACTTTTGGCTTCGTCTTGCCAATTTATGTAAAAGGAATTATTTTTTAATTTATTTTTAAGTATAAAATATCCCTCATCTTTTCCGATGTTTCAAACATCATTTTTGGCGACAACCAGTACAATGATGAAGAAGACGTGAAAAAGATTGTGACCTTTTGCTTATCGGAGCAGGCTGCGAGTTACTACGAAGAGGATTTTCTAGATCTAGTTGTAAGGTATGATAAGTATTTAAGCAAACTTGGCAACTTTTCTGAAAAAAGAGAAACGTATGAAGAATGGAAACATAAATTTTGTTTCTTAAAGATTTTCTTTCGTTTTGTTTTTATTTTCAAACAGGAGCTTACTTAAAAAACAACCCTCGAGGAAACACTTTTCTGTAATAACGAAATTTAGCATGTTATCTAATGCAAGCGTATAGTTTTTTCAAGTTATTATTTCAGATAAATGTTCAGCTAATTTAGCTAATTCAGGAGGCTCCTGGAACTAGAGTTGAAATATCTCTCTGATTAAATTTAGGTAATGAACAATCTCGTATACAAATCTCGAAACAAATTTAGCCTTGGTTAGTGTTAAAACTTTACGCAAGGTGGTGAGTAAGTAATAAAGAAGTATGCTAGTTTGTATTAACTTAAATTAATTGCAGTTTTTCATAATTACAATATTGCACTAAAATTCAATATTTTCCAACAATCCAACTGCAGCTTTAAAGTTAAGATTAAATAATTATCATTATCTAAACTTAAACTCATTACTGTTTTTTTTTTCATTTTCAATGCCCACCTTTGTTGAAAGTTCGTCTATTCAGGCATTTGAAGGGCAGATGTATTGGTCACTCTTTCATAGGCACCCTATTGGGTGGGCCCGCGTTGCTCTCACAGTAAGGACAGGTAGCACAGAGATTGAAATAACATTCATGCCTTGCCCGGAATTCGAACCCAGAACCTTTCTGATGCAAGGCCAGTTCCCGGACCCTTACACAGTCTGGTCGGCATATTATTATTGTTTGGATGTGCATTTCAATAGTAGTAAATGAAGCAATGGCTAAAATGTGTGTTTATTTCAAACAGGTGGTGTTTTCTTCGATATGATTTCTAGAAAACAGATTATTTTGTTCTTCGGTAATGTTGTCACCACGATAACTATGTTTGGAGTTCCCTGGAGCAGACAAATCAGGACTCTCACCATATGGATGGTAGTAAATGGTTTAACTTTGGGTGTTCTCGATACAGGTATCTCATCCCCATATTTTTCATTTAGATTTCAATGTCATTGCTCATTATGTAATTCAATAGACAATTCTGTACATTTTGTCATAAATTCTTAAACTAGCCTTAAGACGAAAACTACATTGGATGACTTTGGTTTCTAATTGATTTATTTTCAGACATACACTATCTACCAATAAGTATTTGGACACGGAAAAACAAACTTTATTTATAATCAATAGTTGGTAGAGCCTCGAAGAGAGGCAATTACAGCATGAACCCTCCGGGACATACTTTCCATAAGTCCTTGTGTGACGACTAGTGGTATTTTCGTCCACTCGGCTTGTAGAAGACATGTAAGTTCCTTCACCGATTTTGGACGGGCAGTACACCCTTTAATTCGGCGATCCAACTCGACCCAGAGGTTCTCGATAGGGTTCAGGTCTGGGCAGGCCAGTCCATTCGATTAACCCCATTGACACCATACCAAGCCTTGGTGACCCTCGCAACATGACAGCTGGTATTGTCGTCTTGGAAGTAACAGGGGTCCACCCCGTAAAACTGCCACAACGTAGGAAGCCCATTGTCATCCAAAATAGTGCAGTAAGCATCTTTCAAGGGACCAAAGCCGATGTTGTTCCCTACACGATATATACCGGTGGAGAGCGTGACTTAACTCAGGACAGCAGATATAGTCATTTGCATAGGTGTCCAAATACTTATTGGTAGATAGTGCATAATCGGGACAAAACAAATGAATTTCTTGAAATGAAAAAAAAATAACACGCGTTTTCGTTACATGCACAGGAAAACCATTTATTCTTGTAATTGTAAACCCAATTCAGAAGGCAAGGGTACTTCTAAATCATGATTGGGTCTAAATCATGTCTTAGTCATGTATGTCAAATCTTCTAAATCAAATTTGTCTTCATGGAAGACTTTTGAAAAAAAACGAACACACGTTTTCGTTACATGGATAGGAAAACCACGATGGACAAGGTCAAGTGAGGGGCTGACGACAAGGGGACTCTAACCCATGATCCGTCTACCACTGAAGATATTTCACGGCAGCACTGTGGTCGATGCAAGCCGGATGCTGTTTGGTATTGACCAGCCATCTCTGCGATTCGAACCCGGTTCGAACGCTCTATGCCCTGAGCCATAATTAAAGAATTTTATATTTTATTTTATAACCGTCGTTGAACAGCCGACCCAACTTTCTTGGGTTTACGACTACTAATGTTCAACTCCGTAGCCTTGTAATTTTGAACCCAATCCAGAAGACAAGGGAACTCCTGGATCAAATATTGAGAGAAATTTTGCCTTCGTGGAGGACTTTTTGAATGAACTAACCCGCATTTGCGTTACCTGGAGAGGAAGACCACGAGAACTTCACACTGTTAGCCTGACGGCAAGGGGACTCTAGCCCATGATCCGTCTACCACTGAGGATATTTTACGTCAGCACTGTGGTCGGTGCAAGCCGGAGGCGGAATTCGTATCGATTGGGTTTCGAACCCGATTCGCCTCATTGAAAGGCGAACGCTCTATCACCTGAGCATATATGGCAGTACTTTTACTTTCGTTACTTGTACCGCCGGAACAAGTAAAAAGTACGTACTTTTACTTGTACTTCGTTACTTTTTAAATTTAGTACTTTTACTTGTACTTTCGTTACTTTTTTAGGGAAAAAGTACAAGTATTTGTAACGGAAATGTCGAATGAAATCGTTACTTTTTTCNATTATTTAAAGTTAGATAGCAAGTTATTAGTAAATATTAACCATAAAAAAAATTTTATGTTGAACAAAAGTCACAAAATTCTAAGAAATTGTGTCATTATATAGATCATTGTTTTTCTAATCGAAATTAAAAAGCAGTCAAAATGACTTCCTTGGGGAATCTAGTGTTAAATAGTAAATGAATCAATGGCTGAAATGTGTGTTTATTTCAAACAGGTGGTGTTTTCTTCGATATGATTTCTAGAAAACAGATTATTTTGTTCTTCGGTAATGTTGTCACCACGATAACTATGTTTGGAGTTCCCTGGAGCAGACAAATCAGGACTCTCACCATATGGATGGTTGTAAATGGTTTAACTTTGGGTGTTCTCGATACAGGTATCTCATCCCCATATTTTTCATTTTGATTTCAACGTCATTGCTCATGATGTAATTCAATAGACATTTCTGTGCATTTCGTTATAAATTCTTAAACTAGGCTTAAGACGAAAACTACATTAGAAGGCTTTGGTTTTCCAATTGATTTATTTTCAGACATATAATCGGGACGAAACAAATGAATTTCTTCAACCGGTATTATTTTTTGCCTTGTAAACAAAGAGGTATTTATTATTTTTTTTTAAAGAAAAAATATCGTTAAAAATATTTTAGTTTTCTTCTTCAGGCCAAACTGGAATACATGGTTAAAGTAATTATTTAACTGACTTGTCAATGTTTACATTATCCCGAGAAAACATGTTTGATGACATGAGAAAATATTATCTGAGAAAACATGGTTTGTTTCTTTATAATTGTTTTACAAACAGCCTCAAAACAAATCAACTGTTTCAGAGTGGTTACATTGTTTTTGGAAACAATGACTGTCTAATATAACGTCCGGGGTTTAGTTTTATCATCGTTTTTACTCTAAATTTTACCATTTAATAAGTTTATTTAACTTTAAATGAGGGATAACCGGATGGTGCAAGGTCGGGTTACATGGGGGATGCGCAATCACTTTCTTTCCAAACTCCAATAATTTTTAAAGATGTCTGAGGCCTCTCACTGTTGTTTTAGAATGCTATTCCTCTGTGATTTCGAAATGAAAGAAACTTTTTAGATGGTAAAAATTTCAGTAACAACGATGATTTCAAAGCGCATTTTGTTGATAAGGAATAGAAGTTCAATGAGTGCGGGAACATGAAAATACTGAGAAAATGGAAAAAGGTCATCGAATAAAGTGGAAGATATTTGACTGAGTATTCATTTTTTTGGAAATAAAATGATCGAATTTTATTTCACTCTAAAAAACCCAAATTACTTTCTAGCTAACTATGTAATCTACATTATTGTAAGACAATTATTTATCTGTGTTGCAAAGAAATCTTTTGTGCACGTTTGTCAAGCTGTTAAAAAAGTATTTTATTTTATAACCGTTGTTGAACACGGACCCAATTTTGAGTTTACGACTACCAATGTTCAACTCCGTAGCTTTGTAATTTAAAACCCAATCAAGAAGACAAGGGGAAAAACTAACTTTTCATTGCATGGATAGGAAAACCACGAGACTCTAGGACAACGACAGCACTGTGGTCGGTGCAAGCCGGATGCTGTTTGGTGTCGAGCAGCCATCTCTGGGATTCGAACCCGGTTCAAATCATTGGAAGGCGAACGCTCTATCCCCTGAGTCATAATTAGAGAATTTTTCATATTTTATTTTATAATCATCGTTGAACAGCCGACCCAATTTTATGAGTTTACGACTTCTATTGTTCAGCTCCGTAGCCTTGCAATTTTGAACCCAATCCAAAAGACAATGAAACTCCCGGATCGAGTATTGCGAGAAATTTGCCTTCGTGGAGGACTTAATTAAAGAATTTGAAACTAATGTGCCTTATTTTATTTTCAGGAGGAAATGTTTGCTGCCTCAATCTATGGGGTAAAGATAGCGGTCCGTTTTACCAGGCACTCCATTTTACGTTTGGCATCGGCGGATTGGTATCACCTCTTATTGCTGCTCCATTTCTCGGTGATTATTCAGATTTCGAACAATTTTATGACAACGGAACTCTAGAAACCAACGAGACTTGTTATCAAAATCATACAGATTTTTCCAACGCTACTTCTGTTGCTATTCCCAGGGTAACGTGGGCATACATGAGCATCGGCGTCATCTCCTTTTTCGTAACCATTTTATTTCTTGCAATGTGCATCATAGCACCTGTTGACGAGAGCGGCAGGAAAGGGGGCGAGTCGGAATCCGGTAAAAAAAGTTGGGCCTTCACAGCTCTCATTGTATTCCTGACTTGTATCTTGATCTTGACCTCAATGGGTACTGAAGTGGGTTATGCCCAAATGCTGACCACCTACGCTGTGAAAGGACCTCTGCACCTGTCCACAAGTACAGGAAGCTACATGACTTCAACTTATTGGGCTGCCTTTACAGCTTCGAGACTCGCGGCCATATTTTTGACCATAAAATTCAGCAATTTCAGTTTGATAGTTTTTGATGTGGTTTTAACATTCATCGGCGGGTTAGTGTTGTTGTTTTTAGCTGCCTCTTATGATTGGGCCCTTTGGGTCGCCTCCATACTTCTCGGGGTCGGGATAGCCTCTTTCTTCCCAGCGTCCGTCAGCTGGATTGAACAATATATCAATGTTACCAATAAAATAGCCTCAATGTTCGCCGTTGGAGCCTCTTTCGGGGAAATGATAATCCCCTACACAATCAGCTATTTTATTGATGAAAAACCAGAAGTTTTTATTTATGTAGTTATTGTAAGTTGTGTTGTGGCCATTGTTGTGACTTTTATTATGTATTTAATTTTAAGAAAAATTCCTGATAAATACACATCACGGCGAACGAGCTCTGTGAATGCTGCACGTTCTGGTTCTGTGAATGCTGCATATAATAACACAGAGATATAGTGTAGAAAGTCTATTATTTATATATAAATATGAATGTCTGTCTGTTTGTGTGTTCTTTATGGACTCCTAAACTATTCAAGCAAAAAGCGATGAAATTTGGCACACATGTAGTTTGAGGCACGAAGAAGGTCACTGTAGACGGTAGAACATTCAACGACTAACTGTTCGAGCTGAATGAGCGAAAAACGAAATGGAATTTTCGGATTGGTTAAGCGTTAGCTATTCTTTTAAATTTAACTAAAGAGGTTTCAATTTTTCAAATATTTTAACGAGAACATCAGTGATATTTGCTCGTTTGCAGTTCTATTTGATTAAAAAAAGTGTTTATTTCACGTATTTTAACATTTAATTATTTTTTATTCGCTATGTCAGATAAATTCAATGAACAACATTACATGTGTACTAGGTAACCAAATAAGTATTCCTCGTGTAATCTTATACCACGTGTTTATTTTGCATATAGTAATTTTTTAAACGTGTTTCTATAAAAGTAAAGTTCCATACTGACGATAATGATGCCTAATTAATATTGATAATATGTATTAATTGAGATAAAAAAATAAGCTATGTGGTTAAAAGCAAAGTTAATGGAAAAAATTTAAACGAAAATTCGTTCAGGGGAATCATAGAAAATCGACAACGGCCATTTTTCTTATTAATTACGACGCATTTAAAGTGTTTACTAATTTTGAACTGTGTCTTCCTTATCGTATGGGTTGAACATAAAAAGCAAGCATTTAATTTTGAATAGAAAAAAAAAGGTTTACATGAATTTTTTTTGTTCTACACAAAAAATTAAATTTAACAACAGCAACAAAAAATCTGATTTTTAAAGCATATCATAAAAGTATGGAAACCGTGTTTCTGTGTCAGTGAAGAAAATTCTGTGGGAGCCTACGTAAGTAATCAACAAAACAGGAACACTTAGAAACAACAATTTTCAAATTGCTCCATACTCTCCAGTTTACGTGATCAATGATGTCATCTGATTGTAGTGAATTTGAGTCATTCTATTATAATAGTTTCGTTAAAAATCTATATATATATTTCTCTTACACGGCGACAAAAAAAGCCTCACTACAACTCCCCGAATGGCAACTCTAGAAAATCGACCAATGATTGCCGCTAAAAATGTCACATACCAAATCTAGCTGAGGTGGCTCGACATATAGCGCTTTTAAAAACGGAAACTAAAATAACCAGAGAGAGCATTCTCTCCAAATGTGATATCTTCCGAAATTCACCCTATCAGCTGCGGCAATCTCATACTATTAAGCTAGGCAGAAGTGAGTAGTCTTTGTCGATAGATCTCTATTTTAGTATTTTGTCGAAAGCGCTTTTTTTCACGAATTTATATATTACGAATTTATTTGACGATTTTTGATTTATATCACGAATTTATTTGTTTTACTAGAATTTATTTGTTTATGCAGGTTTTTCCATTGCAATTCACTTATTTCAATTTTTAATAGACTTAATTATAGCCAAAATTTTAACCTTTTTAAAGAGATATCAGTTTTAGAAATTTTATCTTAAGATTTTATACTATAGCACATTTCTAATAGGTTTAACGAATTACATGTCATTTATTTGAATTCAAATTTATTTTAATGACTTAGTATTTACTAAAAAGATGTAATTTTTTTTTTAAAAAAAAGTTGTTATATGGATTTGAATGATTGCTTTGAATTCTTAGAATTTTGTGCATTTGCAATGTACCTAAGTTAGTAGCGAGCGAAGCAAACCATATAAGATTGCGTAGCAATTTTCGGGGGTTGGCGAGCGGCAGCGAGCGAGGGGGGCAGCCCAGTAGTTATTTTTAAAAATGAGTAAACAAGAAAATTTTATGGAACAAATATCGGACTCTTTCCTTTAAGAATTTTATAAACGTATATTAATGTGGATAGAGAGAGTCTTGACTTTCATTGACTGATATTTCATTGCGCGTGGAATTCAATATTTTTTCCGTTACTGTAACAATATACACATTAATTTTAATAATGTAACGCAGTAACAATATCACATAGTTGTTACTGCGAATGACCGAAATCGGGGATTGATGACTTCCCCTGGTGAATGTCGAAAATCACATAGTCGCTTCGGTATATCTCCGAAACATATAGGTCTAGTGAAATGCCACTGCCCGGTATACATTTAACCGGTACTCCGAACACTGATGTTTCTCCTAAGCAAATCTATTCTCAGCAGATATTGATATANCTAGTTATTTTTTAAAAATGAGTAAACAAGAATCCTTCCCCTGGTGAATGTCTAAAATCACATAGTCGCTTCGGTATATCTCCGAAACATATAGGTCTAGTGAAATGCCACTGCCCGGTATACATTTAACCGGTACTCCGAACACTCATGTTTCTCCTAAGCAGATCTATTCTCAGCAGATATTGATATATCGAATAAATACAATAATATCAACGAATAAATTAATATCAATTCGGATATAACAAATATTTCGGACATTCACCAAAGTGACTATTGTTGACATTCACCGGTGAAAGTCGACTTTCTCTTGATTTTGGTCATTCTCGGTAACAGAGTTATAAATATTTGTCTAAATAATTTTCCTGAGCACAAAGATTTAGTCTTCCTTATTTAAACCTAAAATTCCAACTTTTCGCTAACCGGAGTCGGATTCGGGCAAAAAAGTTTCCAACTCCTCGACTCCTTCACATTTGATAGAAATTAATTGACATTTACAGCAGCATGAGACTTTTAAAAAAAAGTACAATATAAGAAATATAAAACTTACGTTGTTAGCGATGAGATATTCAATGAACTTCTTTCAAGTCAACTATTTAAAATAATATTCTAACAATACTCACACTAATTCTCACGCTCTGACACACACGAAATTCAAACACTTCGATTTTATATAAGCATGGTACAGTGAAGCACGTGGAAAGATAAGCCAGGTTCATAAGTCCCGCGATAACACGAGGTGGCAGTTAATTAATGTTAATTCAAACAAACGTTCTATAAACATGCTACGTTTGATATATTGAAAAAAGAATACGTACTTCAAAATTCCTATTGTATTTAAATTTGTCTTTGAATAATCACTTTGTTCTTAAATCCCTGTTACATTATCGTGCGAACTTTGACTGGATTTAGCTGTACCGAACCGGTTTTGGGAAAAGTACTTCGTAATATTTTTTCTTTCAGATAAAATTAAATTATTTTTTAAGAGATAAAAATGCGTAATTTGTCATCGAAGAATCTAAAACAAAACAGTTGACACTTCTCACCTGATAGAGAAAATGAGCTTCTTGTTATGAAGCGTTGAAAATACCCAAAATCTAAATTCAGTTCTTCTTTTCAAAAATGTGTAGTTTTTAGATTTAATATCTTACATGATTTACAAACTGCTGTTTGTAGTAGTTAATCGTCTGTAACGTTATCGATTAGCGGTAAACTAACGTATTAAAAACGTCCGTAGTAACGTAAAACTAAATTTCAGCGATTCTATTTCATGTGAACTTGAACGTTTTATTGGTGAAAACTGCTGCCAAATCATATCCCACCGAAGAAGAAATATGCGTCCCAATTGCTGAACAATGGGGAAAATACTTAGTTTCAAATGTCACACAGCGAACAGAATAAAAAAAAAGTGAAACAGAATTTTAAAAAAAAATCTATACCGTTAAATAAGAGATAAATAATTTTCCGGTAGACAATTTCTTTTATTAATTTTATTTTCATTTTGAAACGATGTATGTATATATATATACATATATATATGTATATATATATATATATACTCTGCTACACTTATTTTATAAATGGTATTATATGAAAAAGTAAGTGCCATGTTTTTCATTGTCTATCTCAATATATTCATAAAATAATTTAAATTTACAGGGAGAACATACTCTCAGGCTTCCCCTCATGTGAAATGTGTTAATGTAGAGACAATTATGTGAAAAGTAATAATGATAGATGATTAAGTAGCGTTAAACTGCTGTCATGTATAGCACGTGTTGCTGAAGTATGGACAGATTTGAGACAGATGAGGCCGAGCATTATTTTACAAAAATGATACTAAAATACTCACCGAGTTGCTAATTCACTTCGATTATTTTCTTCAAAATAACATCATTGTTTTAAAAATAACGGCTAAATTGTCAAATGATTCATTCAAGTCTAAGATATATTTTTAAAAAATGTATTTTACCAAATTTGATTAAATCCAAAATATTTATTGTCTCTTGGATTCTAATAAAAATAGGTTGCTGATTTTTTTGTGTATTCATACATAAAAAATTGAATGATTAAAACTCTTGCGTCTAATATTAAGAATATATCTATATATATATCATCTAATGTTTCTGTATGAGAAATAATCTCGTAATATAACTGAAATTTCTTTGTATGTGCAGGAAATATTTTAGCCTACAGGACAAAATCATAGACTGCAGATCGTAGGTAATTGTAGGTACTGTTATCCATAGTTTTTTTTTCTGTGGAGACAAATATTTCTCGTACATACAAAAAATTTGGCAACTCAGGGTGCTAGACGTTTTCAGTTTTATTTAAATATTATTTTCGCAGGTGTATGCATGAATTAAAATATTTATGAAAATATTATTATAAATATTAAAATATTAAATATTAAATATTAAATATTAAATATTAAAATATTAAATATTAAAATATTAAATATTAAAATATTAAATATTAAAATATTAAATATTAAAATATTAAACATTAAAATATT